GTTCTGAAGGTCACCTTGACTCTAAGACTTACAGCATGTCAACCTTTCACTGTTTACTACATGTTTATTGCCTGACAGCAGATGTTGAACTCCAGTATGAGGACAACATCACACAGAGAGGCACCAGGACAATGTGCTGTGAGAAATGGCCTGATTTTCTGCTGATAGATCAAAAAAAGAAGAGCAGCTTCCTTGACCTCAGCCATCCAGGGTCATCCTGCTAAAGCCATGTTTATTTCCTGCCCAGAGAACAACTGAGCTCAGCTGTCAGAGGAGGCTGGAGGACACGGTGCTGGATCAACATCAACATCAACATCAACACCGTTAACAAGAAGACCCGGCCGTCTTATTAGGCTCTAAATACAAATGTTTCAGGTTCCCGCATTTATTTCATTATGGAAGTTTACAGTTAATGGCATCTCCCCACCACCAGAGGGCAGTCACTCATCATACTGGAATGAAAACATAATTCAAACGTGGTTGCTGATTTGTCATCGTATCGTTAGAGAATCAGTTTCATGTTTCATGGTTTGCCTTCAAGTTATTTAATATAAATTAATATAAACTTGATTGTATTTAATATAATATTCATAAATGTATATTTTTATGTATTACTGTATTTACTGTATGTGACGTCACAACATCCACAAAGACAAAATGATTGTATAAACGTAAAACAAAAATGTACAGAACCTGGATTTAGAGTTAAGGAAAATACAAAATAATTTAAATTCACACTGTTTGCTGAATCGAAGACTATTCTGCACTAAAGAAGTCAATTCTTTAGTGCAGACTAATCAAAAAGTAGTATTTACTCAGTTCCATTCTTTGATGAATTTCCTAAGCTCCTCTCAATGGAATGGTCTGGCAAACACTGGCTGTGGTTTCACACATTGGAGATTCATTAGGATTTAGGTCAATTCTTTAGTGCAGACTAATCAAAAACTCAGTACTTTCAACTTTTTTTAAGTTTCCTTTGTTTTATTGTCTTTTTTCTGGGACACAATAACAACTAAAACCCAGCTGCTGATATTTTTAGATCTGTAACCCACACACTATGTGTTTGGTCACTCAATTTGTAATTAAGTTCCGCGCATGTTTTAATTTTGAACCTTATTGGTACCTGTACAGACGTAAAGCGTCACTCTCATGCAATCACAACAGAGAACGACAGAGGGTGAAGAAAGTTTGACACGTGTGGTCAGAAACACAGGTGATGTACGGAAAATTATCAGGAAAGCTAAGGAGTAAGTGCACGATTTATTTTCTTAAAACGTCTAACTTCAGTGTCGTTGGAATCCGCCGCTGAAACTTCAGTGAGTGTTTGAAACGGTAGTGGTAGTACAGTTAAATATATTAGCTTAAGTCCAGTTTATACATTTTTATTTTATATTAATTTGTAAATAATGTATTCATGATTTAATCGGTATTAACCGAAATTATGTCATTAGTCATGGAGTTAAAATGTGTTAATGTGTTATCTATCACAATTGTTTTATTAAATAATGACGTTAAATGTGGAGAAATACATCTGTAAATTCTTAAAATGAAGCAGCTCACGGAGTTAGAAATAATGAATTATTTTTGTATCAAATGACTAATTTATGAATAATTTGTTGTTCTGCACAATATGCGCAGACAGGTGTTTTGTGGAACCCATGATTGACCGCATTGATCGCCAGCCACGCCCCAGACCTCCGGACGCTGCAGAGATTCCTGCGACTCGACTGGCCAGCTACTGCAGGATATTCCACAGTGGAAAGTACGAAAGCGTTCCAGATAAGCGATTAAACACACACACACACACTGTGCCCAATATGGTGATGTAAATTAGATTAGCTCGACAACACTAACACATCTGATAATACGACAAGTATTGAGAAAAGAAATCAATCTCTAGTCAGTGTTGTTTATTTTATTATAAATATATATATATATAAACAAAATTAGAAAGAACTCTATTTTCTTTTATATGGTCTGGTCACTTTTATTGTGATATTCTTGTTGTCACTGCAATAAAACTGTCGGTTGTTAACATTTAACCTGTTTTCTATTATTATTGTTATTATTATTATTATTATTATCTGTTATCAAAAGCCTAGAATATACATATCTTAATTTGGCCTATACAGCCTAATCCTAATTCAGATAACTTTGTTTACGTGTCTTTATGTAAATATGCAAACCACCTTACCAAGGCTAGTGTGTTTATTTATGGTGTGTTAGTGTGTCTCATTTTGCAACATATCAGTCAAAGACAAAAACATTTTAGAGATTTTTTTGTCTTTGACTGAATGGTTAAAACTTGTTGTTGTCTATACTAGTGCAGGTGTTTCATCACATTTAAAGCAGTCAACATGCAAATAAATCAACAGTAATTTCATAATTCGTACATAAGTGTTTTTTTTATTATTTTGTTGTCCATAAAAAGGTCAAGATTCAGTCCCATGAATTTATTTCAATACATCATATTCTTAGTTCAAAAAGCAACATAAAATTACAAATCATAATACAAAGAATAGAATAGGTAAGTACAGTAACCATACAAACGGCCCACTAATATGATATACCCCCCACCCGACCCCCCCACCTGCCCACTCAAACTCTAGCACAAATCTCATAACAATACATCAGTTAGTATCAGCGTTTAAAAAAGGAAAACAAAAATCAACTGAACATCCTGTGTTTTACTTTATTTAAATTTTTTAAAGCGCTTCAATGTTCATATGCTATGAGTTCGGCTTTATCCTCACACAAAATACACAACAGAGATCACGTCTCGCCCTGTCATTTTCTCCGCAAAACACAATAAACATGCATACAGTTTCACTGTTTCACACCCCGACCCCCGCATCGATAAACATTCAGGGCCAGAGGATACTAATGTACGTCTAACCATAGTGGTGCATCAATAAAAAGGTTTTTACTTTTCACCATATTTCTGGAACCAAAACCCCGTGAATGAAAAAGTGGATCCAGTGGTTTCCCTGATATCACAAACTGACTAGAAAATAAAAAAGAGAAAAACCTAAACTGAGGCCTACTTGTATATTTCAGGAAAAAAAACTTCTACTGTCTCCAGCTTCGTCTGAGAGCTCAGATCCCTGGATCGACTTGGTAACAGGTTTCCATTATTTACATTTTCATATAGGCTTCAAAGCAAAGGAGGAGAATGGCAAGGTTCCCTGTTCAGAACGATGACGGCGAGCGAACAAGTGGTGTTCCCTAAACTTTCTACCACTCGACCACGAGCCACGTGTGTACTCCCAAAATGGAGTCAATCAGGTATAAACACAGTAAGTATCATTGAACATGATGGGTCTGGAGTGCAGACGCCTTTGCGCAGACCTGAAACTTGGAAGAAAAAAAAAAACAAAACTTTTTTTTTTAGGCAAAAACACAAGAGGCGTTACGTACTTATTCAAATGGGAGGTTGGATCCTAAATGCTGGTCTGTCGAAGACAGTCGACCGTGAGTATGATGACTAACAAAAATTTTACACCCTTATTACAATTTAGATGCTTTGTACAATAGTGCTGAACTTAAGACCTGCTTTGCCATGCTTGATCTGATACATATACATATATATAAATGTGTAAATATACTGTTAAGTACAGTACGGGTATACATGTAGTGTTTCACTGTGTGTGTGCGTGTGTGTGTGTGGGGGGGTATTTGTGTGGTGGAACCTGCACCACACTGACAGTGAGAGGCTCAAATATGGCTTGTGTCAGGCGCGGACACCTGCCTCCATCCATAAGAGAGCTCCTACATTTGGGGCCGCAGAGGTTTAAAAAACAGAGCTGGAGTAGACGCATCATCCCGTCCTGGCACCCGGTCAGAATCACATCATTTGTTTATGAACATCAACACACGTTTCTGAGAAAAACAGTCCATGGCTCTACACTACGACAAACACGTTCAGATTAATTACATCGACAAGACAAGCACGTTAGAAGTAGAAAAATGTGCTGGGCTGAAATTGAGCAGGAAGCCAGAACAGTCCAGGCCCAGTGATGAATGACACTGGAGCAGGACTGTGAAAACAAATGAGGCCGTAAGACTACACATTAATTAGAATGATTTTGATGAAGGATATTTATTCTGAACGCAGACTGCTCAAATGAACAGCTGCTCTCCCTTGGAAACCATTAAAAGTAGAGTATGCAGGAATTTCCTTCAAGAAGGAAACAGAATTATACACAAGTAGTGACACTGGTCAGACCTGCGGGCCACTGCATAGTCTCATCTGTGTGTTTTTTTCCTTTCTTTAGGAACTTGATAGAAACATTTACTTGAAGCAAAACGACCCTGCAGGTGGCGATAATGCAGCTCAGACCAACCAATGAATGCACAAGAAGATGCAGAGGTCACAGGTAGAAATATTTTAAAGTATTTTTTGCTGCTCGAGGATAAAATCATGTCAAATTAGTGGTTAATAATTGTTTGGTCACAGTGTTACTAGAGGTCTGTCTATCACACAGTGCATTTCTTAGAACTAGCTGGCCATGCTAATCTTGACAGCTAATCATATTACTTTTTCCTGCATGAAAAATTCCTGCATAATGTACTTGTAATGTAAAAAAATCTCTGTTTGGTGTGCTGTCCAACTAATTAAAAAACAATCACGTATTTACATAACTAATTACCACATTTTAAATGTATAAGAGTAGCTCAGCAATTTAAAAATTAGCTTGTGTCCATTTTTTTTTTTTTTGCAGAGGCTTCAAGAAAAACATTGATAAAATGGTGAAATAAATAAAAAGCTAGCAGCGTGTCTTCTTAGGTTAGTATTAGTGCAGGAAACAATGGGGAAACAAGTAGCCTGACTTTTCTTTCTTTTTTTCCAGAGGTAAAAAACAACAACACACCAGATGATGATCATGACTGCTGGCACTTGTGTTCTAATTCTTCTCATCTACCACCTAATGAAAAGGTAAACAAGTTAACTCTTCAAAATGTCAACCGGCTCCTTTAAAAGTGATTTACGTCAGCTGTTATTATGTCAGCAGACTCTGTCCAGCCTTTAAACGTTACACTTCAGTGAACCCTGAAGGATTACTGCCTTCTGTTCAAAGTAAACACCTCCAATATGACATAAGCCTCCGCTTCTATAGTCGTTTCCCCCTTGAGCCTAAAAAAAAAAAACAGCCACGTAACTGCAGACATCCTCAGTGTGGCTCAGACTGAGGCCTCGTTTTCACTTCAACCACTGCTGCTTAGGATATGGAGTGTTGGGGGCGGAGAATGCCCAAGAAATATATAAATATAGTTTTTCATTACCACTGTAAAAGCAAAGCAACAGAAGCTGGCCAATTGTCTAAAAACAAAAAAAAAAGGAGAAAACATTCGGATACCTAAAGCCGTACAAGCTACACCAGTATTCCAGACTCATCTTTGTAGATCTGCTGCAGACAGCAGATGCTGGACCCTCATGAAAAACACAAAAAAACGCCCCCAAAAAAGTAGGTTAGTGTTAGCTAGGTAATAACTCTAAAATGCCCTGGCAGTCAAATGGTTGTCCATTAACTGGTGAACAGGGAGTAGGAGGAGGAGGATGAAGAGGGGCTGGGTTCACATGCTTGACCAGTGTTTGTCCACTGCAGAGAGAACTGGTCCAGCTGTGGAGGTATTCTTCATTCATTCATTAGTTTAAAAACACTATTAAACACCAAGGTTGATAAGTCGTCTCCATTTCTCTCGTCCATCAGGACGTCCAGGTCTTCCAGCACTGCGTCACATTCCCATACATGCGCAGCACTCAGGTGTCCATGGAGATATGGGTAGACAGTCATCCACTCACATGTATTCACACTAAAAGTTACACCTGTCAGCTTCTTTTGGACATATTATACTTCCTTCTTAACTCATGCGAGTAAACGTAGAGTTTAAAGCTGCGACTAACAATTCTTCCCATGTTTAAAAAAAAAAAAAATGGTAGTTTCCTTTTATAGCTAAGTTTTTGTTTTAGAACTTCCATCATAGGACACCAAACAGATGGATGAAGGATGATAATAGCTTAAAAAAAACAACAGTAGAACAGTCTCACCTTTAAAATGAGAATCAGAAGAGAGATGCTATGTTGATATTAACCTTCAGGTGTGCTCCTTCAAAGATGCACAGATGTGGGGGAAAAAAAAAAATCACACATCCCTTTTCTTTTCTTTTTTTTTTAAAGGTCTACACGATGATACCCTCCGTCTCTCTCACACACGTTCTCATTCATTCCGATGCAGAGGAGCTGCTGTTTGTTTCTCAGGCATGCTGTGCAGCAAGGTCCTGGTTGATGAAGCGCCGTAGCCTCTCCAGGTACTGACTGTAAAGCTCAATGTCGTTGTGACCGGCCCCCTCCACCCACAGGGGCTCCACAGCCTTAGGGCAGCGCTCAAACAGGGCCAGGCCGTGAGAGAAGTCAATCACCTCGTCCTCTGTACCGTGGATGATGAGCACTGGAGACGGGATCTTTGACACCTTCTCGATGCTGTTATAAAAAAAACAAAACAAGGCAAATAAGTGGTTATTGATGCACAGCGCAGGATTATATAGACTCTTTCTGACAGTGATGAATGACGCTGTGGTTACTCAGCATCTGTGCGATATACGTTATAGTGGTATTGTGGTATTACTGTGACCACAGTACATGGAATACTGTATACATCACCTTTTTACAAGGGTGAAATAATAAATAATTAAGAAACGTACGTAATGTGAACAATATAAAATATGTATTTGACTTGGACTTACTTAGGGAAGGCGTCAAAGCAGTATGTTTTCTTGGTGTCAGGGAATGCCACTCTCATTCCAGAGGTGAGGGGAGAGTGAAGGACCACCGCAGCACACTCGAAACGTGAAGCCAAGTCCACTGTGGGGACTGTACCGATACTCTGTCCATACAGGATTATGTTCTCAGGGCTGATGCCGTACCTACAGACAAACGTACACTAATTATACTTAACGGTATTATAAACGATAGCACACCAGTAAAGGAAAGTTATTGAGGTGAAACCGACTTCTTTGCCAAAAGCTGTTCTGTGATAAAATGAAAATAGTTTTGTTGAAAGTGAAGGCCGAGACTTTTAGGTCATGAACAAAGGCGTGCTTTTGTTACAAAACAAAAAAGCTCAGGTGACTGTAATTTAATAACTAACCCGCTTCACTCCATCCCTCTCCGCCCTACAACAGTACAGCAGTCAAGAAGAAAAATGTGACGGCACGATCATTTTACTGCCAATTTGCCCGTCTACAAATCCAATTATCAAATCATTAAGTGAGCACTTCAAACTCCTCCACATTCCTGAAAGATGCTGCTACGGCCCTGGTGTTTAGGTGTGTGTGTGTACTGTATATGTGTGGTTGCAGTGTTCTTCTTCTTCATCTTTCTTGTTCTCTCTCTCTCAGCCCAGCTCCAGTTGACCACGGTTGAGAGGCATCTGCCTAATGATCTGAGGAGGGATATAAGGAGCTGAGCGCCACCTACATTCCTTGCCCTTCAGTGTCGCTTTGCCTCCGACTGCAACAGCATATCGCAGGTGATTGTGATTGTGTGTTTGGCTGTGGAGCTGTGGAGCTGTGTAGCGTGTTATTATTTTGTCCCGAGAGTCGGAGGTTGATTGTTGCTTCCTTTTGTTTTCTCTGTCTGCGCTTTATTTTTGTTTTATTGTTTCTTGTGAACTTTGATCAGTCTGTGATCTGTCAGCCTTTGTTCTCCTCCCTTTATTCCCTGGACATATATGCACATTAACAAACACCGAAAAGTTATTTACGACAGACAAGGTCACCAAATTATCAACAGAAAATACTGGCCAACGTGGGATCCGTCAAGTATAAACATTTTCAACAACATAGTCGAAAAACATTACGTCACTGCCTAGTAATGATTACTGGCCTCCTTGAGAGACTTTCATTAATTTCATTCCCTGGATGGAGAGTGAGTTTCTGCCAGCTTACCGAGAGCGCAGGGCGTGCCAGGCGGCATCAATGTCAGCGTATAGGTTTTTTTCAGACGGCTTGCCAGTGCTAACACCGTAGCCTGAGTAATCATAGGAGAAAATGTTGCAGTTGATGCGTGTGCCTAAGCCAATATAGAAGCTGCTCATCTGGCCCAGGTCGACTGCATTGCCGTGGGAAAAGAGTACAGTAAACCTGACAGACGAGGGATAAAACACAAAAATTAAACAACGTGAACGACAGTAGTAGTAAAACAAATTATAATTAGAAGACTTCTTTAAACATAAGCTGATGCGTTGTGCGGTTACACGCTGCATCTCACCTAGCATTTGGAGCACAGCGAATGTACATGCAGCCCACCCGGTTCCCTCGATTGGACCTAGTCAGGAACACATCCGTCACGTCCAGTTCCCTTTGTGAATACTGGAACTCTGCTCTCTCGGTGAGATGCAATTTCCACCTGCCTTCACTTGCGCTGCCAGTTGCTCCACCACCACCACTACTGCTGCCGCCGCTGCTGCCTCCACCTCCTCCTCCTCCTCCTCCTCCGCCACCTCCTCCTCCTCCACCTCCTCTATCACTTCCACTCCCAGCACCTAGCCGGGAACGCAGCCCCGGTGCTCCCAGAGATGGAAGAGCAGTTCCGGAGCCGGACCCAGAGGTGGTTCCTGCTCCAGAAACTGGATCTGGGTCAGGAAGGAGGGCGTAGGTGGGCTCCGGAGGGAGGAACGCCAGCTTGGCTGCGATGCGACTGGGGCAAGGGGGGCAGCAGAAAAGGCAGCATAGTTCTCGTATGGACAGACCGTTCATCTTCTGGTTGGAAAATAAACACAGGAGACACTGTTTTAGGTTCTTTGGACCTCAGTGCCCAAGGCTAAACACTATCAGGGCAGTGGAAATATATGACTACACAACATATAGTCAATATACAGATTTTACATTGTCTTTGGAGTTGTTCTGTCAGCCAGTGAAAGATGGTTATTATTTGGTCATTTTTTTACTTTTTTAAGTTTTACTTAATTCATTAATTACAGAAAAAATGTAACTAAATTGTCTGATTTTTTTAGAGCAATTGCAGCTATCTGTTCATACATATATACATATAATAATGGCTTGTTTTTACAACAAACGCTACTGTTTTGACCTCTTTGTTCTCTCACACAAATAACACAGTGTCTCACACATTAGTGTTGACACTGTGTGCCGTCTTTAACACAGTACTTATTTGTATCGTTGCTGCACATTACAGGAGAGAGCCTTTTGCTTCAAGTGGACTGGAAATTCAGTCTTCTAAGCAGAGAAAAAACTAGTTGTCTAGACCATAATTCGATATTTCACTGTGAAACATTTTCGTGTACTTTATTCATTCCCTAAGGGGAAATTATTCTCTGTATTTTACCCATGTTCAATTGTTCAGTCTGAACTGAAACTTTTCTCTTTTGATCAATCTTTAGTTCAAGTTTTTCCAAGCTTTTTTTTTTTTTTTTTTTAACCAACAACTCTCTGTGACCTATAGATCCCATATTGTACATATTTTGTGATAAACTTACCTGTATTCAGAAATGACTAGGTCTAAAACAGAGCTGGCACACAGTGGTGCCAAAGTGGTGTAGTGTAGTCACTGAGCCAGCTGGAGCTTAAAGGAATAAGAAATTCTACATTAGCTTATACAATAGCTTGTTACACATCAACAGATTACACACTGCAATTCAGAGTCACATTTGATTGTACTGGTATTTAGAAGAAGTACTTTCTGAAGTGTGTGTGAGATGGTCAACATGAACAGGATATTTCTTAGAAGAAGAATCAAAAGAAAAATTGCAATATACAGTAATTACACAGAGACTGGGCATGGAGATAAACAGCAAACTGGTGTCTGAGGTACAGCCTTGATTAAAATATCACAAACAACCGAGGTGTAATGACAGGGTTGTGACTGTTGTTTGACATAGATCCTGTAATATACTGTAAGAGAAGTCAGCTGCACCTCCCTCTGGTGTTATTGTCAAGGGACAATGGGAGATTTGGAAAAAAAACAAACTTAATACTAGGTACTGGAAGAGTACTGTGTAGACTGACAACAGGCATAATGCACCAATCTTATAGATCACTATACATTTGTGTTAATATTCACATTAAGGTATTATTGCAACATAACTAATGCTTAATGACTGAATTAAAAAAGAAATGGCAGTAAGAGAAGATAACCAAACCAGCATCACATATTCCCAGTGACGTTTTCAGTCAGGTGTGTATAAACAAGCACTGGTTTATGTTTATGTATAGACAAATGGCAGACGCTGGTATTAGACGTTTTACAGAAAACAGGCCATGTCTGATTTCTAATTACCATTCCTGTAAGCACAAAACGGTGACCCTAACATTTCAGAGATGATTCAGAGGTCCCGGCGTGATCGTGGAAACTGGTGACTAATTACAACACCCCCACAGCACAGGGAGACGACTGATGTGCTAATGGAGCTCTGTGGTTTACAACGATCATAACCTCTAATGTTAGCCACTGAGGCTGAACATTTAAAATTGGACATAACCACATATGTTGATAGATTGCTCAAACAAACCAAGAAAAACTAAAGCGACACGGGATTACTGATAAGAGATTTTAGCTGCAGCGCAGGTTAATGAAACCTGACAGACAACATATCATCCCTTATCCTTAGCAATGCTAAACGTTAGCGGCGGCGGCTAACGCACTTAGCAGCTTAGCTACAAAAAACTGAGGTACTTACGGATTCACAGTGTGCCGGTGGACAGGCTGGTGTGACACTATAGGTACACCGATGCAGTCTGGGTCCTGGAAAATCCGTCTTGTGCCTTGACATGGATAATTTACCTTATGTGTACTGACAGCTGTCGAGACTAGCTAGCCGAAATTAACAGCAGCCAGTTTTTTCCTACTACAGTACGACTGGAGCCGGAAATGATGTAAGCGCATGTTCCCTTTCAAAACTAACAGAAATACCATTGTTTTGTTTTTTAAAAATAAAGTAAAATAAAATGAAATAAAAATAAGGGTCTAATAGTAATTGTAGAGATAGACATTTAAGATGTCCTATTTTCTATTTTAATTGGGTTTATTCGGAATGTCAGTGATGGAGCTTCATCTAAACAATTTCAATACATTTAAAAAAAATTAAAAACCACTGCAGTTACATGATGCAGTATCCAAGCAGAATTTCCACAGGTAATAAGACCACTTTAACCCTCCCCCCCCGACTCCCCCATCTGTCCATTGGACATTTGTGACATTGGACTTCATATTGTTTATAATACTCCGTTTTATCATATACACTTTAATATAAATCCAACATTTTGTACAGGCAGCCCTGCTTTGCCTCTCTATCAGTTTGTAATTGAAGTACTACCATATATGCATTTTAAATAATATTGTAATTAATATATGTGTATATATATAACAATTTAAATAATTAATACAAAATATGTATGTATATGGGGAGACTTCAGTGACAGCCCGATGACGGCGGTTTTAAATGGTCCTAATGAAGTTTAACGCAGCTGTCAATGCCCTTAAAGTGACCGTTAGTTTGACTAATTAATTAGTTAATTGGTTCAGATGAACTACACAGCAGTCGTAGAAATGTCCTAACAGAAATACGTGGTAACCTGTGTATCTGTGTGTGTGTGTGTGTCTGATGGGGGAGAGAGAGGAGAGAGCGAGCGAGAGAGAGAGAGAGACTCCATTCATCACAGATCCACTGCAGGACCGGGTTTCAGGGGCTGTGAATTATGGGCCCCTGCTGTCACTGTGCCTGCTCTGCGTGGACATTTCACCTCGCCTCTGTAAATTCAAAAAGGAGATTACATTCTGCTGACTACAGTGGCTCCACAGCCGTGGCTCAACCAAGTGCAGACAACTGACCGGCTCCTCTGCCTGGTGCACAAGACTTCGTACAGCATACGCAACTGCAGGAGGGTTTCCAGGCTCCTTTACCCACTGCTGTCGGGGGAGAGAACGTGAGCTGGATCACAGAAACCCCGGATAGGTTCTTGTTTACACCTACGGAACACCGACTGTTTTTCTCCAGGGGCAGAAACAGAGACGTTTTTGTAGTTGGTTGGGCGTTTTTAGACGCGCTGGGTAAAACGGTGATGCTGCTACGGCGACGCGCAGAGGGAAGAGACAGGTGAGGTGCGGCTGCAGGAGCTGCCGTTTCACTGAGGCGCTGGATACGGAGACCCTCTGCTTCCCACCAGCCTTTTCTCCAACGAGAACCACCCGGGAGGACGAGTTGGCGACTGGCACCTATCACTGCCACCCTACCTGGCCATCTGGTGCGGTGAGTGTGCCAAATGGTGCGATTGAGACGAGTGGATGTGAGAAAGAGAGGGGAGCGGGTAGGTGGGTGTGGGGCGGATGGCGTGAACAGGTATACAGCATGTGTGCGCAATTTTTTTTATTGCTACCACCAAACGCATTGCTGCATTACTGCTCTGGGTCAGCCCGCTGGTCTGCCCGTCTTCGCCTGAACCTTTGGAGACATGAAGAGCTCTTTGTGTCTGCATGCTGCAAGTTTGAGGGGTTTTTTTTCTTGCTCATTTTCTTCATCACGGTATTTTAATGATGCTTTCACGTGTTGCATTGTATCTAGTACTGTTTATTCCTCATACCGCTGATCTAAAGTCGTGCTTCAGCCATAAAGCAGCCCCTTTTTGCAATATTGCATGGATTTTATAACACTGCGATGGAAAGGCCTTATTCTTCTCCCACACACGCCTGATCCTTATGTTTTGTTGCGTATCTATGACGTATGTCATTATTTCTAATTGTGAAGGGCCCCATCCAAACAAGGGTCGTGGTCAGATGAGATAGTTAATTATAAGAAGAACTAATGATGCTGTTTTTTTTTTAGACCGAAGTTGAACAATCATGACATGTTTTTCTGTTTTCTTCACTGGCCAATCAAATGCATGTTCAACTCCAAACTTATTTCCTATTGGGGGCAGATTTAAAACTAAAATAATTGAAAAATAATTCCCTTAAGATGTTTACAATAATGAATAAGTCTAATTCAATTACAGACCAAAAAAACAAAAACAGAAAACATACAGTGGACCAAAGTTTTTTAAAAATTTTTTATGAAGCATCCATTGGGGAAACGGCAAGTGAAGAAAACTTGAAGTTACATAATTTATTAGTTTTGCTGCGATTGCACTGTGTAGGCTATAATTAATAGACTTTTAATTCTGGGGGCCAAATAAAGCCTGGTCAAGGGTGGATATTGGCCCTCGGCCCAGACTTTGGACATTTCGATCCGTTTTAAAGTCTAGACCACTGCTGGGCCTGAAATGTGTCCCGTCCATTTACAATAACCTGCTGCCTAAATTGGTGGAAACCAAAGTGCAGACTCTACAACCTCTGACGCCCAAGGGAAAAGCTCTCCTACTGCCACTTCAGCTCTTACTGAGGTGATTTAGTAGAAATAGGTAATTTATTGTTTATAACTTCATCCTTCACATTAAAAGCTATCAAGTTCCACAGAAGGACCATAACAGCTTCCAGCTACTGCTGTTTATGTTTGTGTTTCTGTGTGAGTTGGAAGCCAAAAAAAAAAAGAAACGATTGGAGACAAACATGAAAATAAAGACATTAATAAAAAGAGAGAGAGGGGGAGGGAGGGAGGCAGAAGAACAGACAGGCAGATTTAAAAGATGAAGGGTGGCAGACAACAATCTGTTCTGTAGACTACAGTGGGCTACGCAGAGGATGTGAATGACGGGGGGGAGAGAAAATGATGGAGCAGAGAGCTCAGAATGAACAGTCGTTGAGGGAGAAGGGCTGCAGACAGCAGTCTGAGCGGGTGTGAATGGTCCCCCTGTTATCCCCTGCTGCCCACACAGACAGCCACACAGCAGCCGTTTGAGCAGGTGCTAACCCCAACACACAGCAACCGCGGGGAACAACAGGTGCAGCCACTGTTTCCCTCAACCCTCCCTTTGGGAGGGAGTCTAATGACCGTCCATCCAAAACATACAACTATATATACACACACTCAAACCTTTTTAGCTCCAAAACACCAGTCACTTGCGTTAGATAGAGGCGACAGTACGTACTTCATTCTTATACTTCATTCTAAAAAAAAGTCCAGTCGGTGGAGCAGTTCTCTTTCTAAATTTAATTATGCTGCAAATAAAGTTGATACCACTTGATGTAATGAGGCAGGAGACAGGTAAAGGCAATCTCCTATAAGGCCTCAGGTTGAGACCACTGCCCATAGGGACACTTAATGAGCTCTATTGATTACACAGAACTGTATTCAATCACAAACGCTAAGCTGCATCTGGAGATAGGAAAGAAATACTCTGGATTGCAGTATATTACAGGGTTATATCCACAGACAGGATCGTCTGTTGGGGTTGCTAAGAAGCACATTTCTAGAAATGTGTGGAACGACAGTGTGGGATCTTGTGTGCTTGTCTTTGTGTGTGTGAGAGAGAGAGATGAAACAAAGTCAGGATGTATGAAGAGAGAGAGAGAGAGAGAGACGCTGCCTAACAGCTGTTCTTATCGCAGAGAGAATAGTGAAGCAGTCGTCAACAAATTGCCTCTCGGTTTCGTGTGGTACACAGAGAAGAAAGCTGACGGCCTCAAACAGCCATGTCACCGAACCTGTCAGTCACACTGCAGACTGTTTCTATCCAAGGAACTGAACTGACTTTAAACTCAGGACAATGTTCCTGCAATGCTGACACAGGTTTTTTTGACACACGAACCCATACGAACTAACGTTGTGAGACATGATGTGGTGTGGGGTGTGGAGACAGTGGAGGGTGTCTAATGGACGAAAGGATCGGCTGGAGCTGAGAAGCAGAGATGAAGCTGCTGTGGATTCCATTCATTGGTACAAAGATATATATATATATATATATATATATATATATATATATATATATATATATAACTCCACATATCAGCGGCATAGTTCACAGTTAGGAGAGAGGCTGTGCTGAGATGAGTTTAAATATGACGGGCGATAAAGGATACATTGTCTGGAAGGTGTTGCAGATGAAAGAAGGATCTGGAGAAGATTCATGGTCGTAATGAAGGAAGACATAAAGATGTCTGATTTAACATTAAGGGAAGGTATACGTTTTGGTGAAGGGAGAATTAGATGATCTATTGTGGCGACACTTAAGGCTCAGATATTGTAATAGTGGACTTATTTCCCTCCATATGGAGATTGGTGCTATGAGGATGAGGATGATGAAGATTTCATTTTAAACCACTGAAGGAAGCAGCCAAATAGGGAAGGAGAAGAACCAGTATCATTTCCATCAACTGTTGAAGTACTACTCTGTTTTGTACTTGTCTGTAAACAACGATGTCCTGTTTTCCTTCATGTGATAATGTCAGTTTCTGTGAATCATAACCATGAGCACATGTGGTTGAATGTGTTGGTGCAGACAAAGTTAAAGTTCTCAGTGTTTCCTATCCTTGAACAAGATGTCATACAAAGATTATAATTTTTTTAAGTAGAAAATATAAAACTGTCAGTTTGGCCAATATTATAGTTTACTGGTTTCAAATCCCATTGTGCAGAGTTGTTAAGTACTGCAGGAAGGAGCTGAAATCATAACATGAGGGTGAGTGTACTCTGGCTGCGTACATGTTCATTAAACTTAGCTCCTGAGCCATTAACAACTGTTTAGTTGTACTGTGTTGTCCTCTGAAACAACTTGGAGCTCCATTTAAATCCTGCATCTCAGAAAATCTCCATTTGAAGGGCTCGTTAGCCCCGCCACTTCATCCCACCATTTTATCTCAAGGAGAATCAGGACCCACAGCCTCTTCACATAAACACGCACTCATTCTGGTGTCGGCAGAGGAAAAACACAAACACTGGTGCGCTGTTGCTGTAAAGACCAGCATTTAACTGATACCAAAATCTGATTCATATTTGAACCCAATATCAACAGTTCTACAGCATCTGTTAAATGACCTGTTCCAGTGGGACCCTCTGGACAGGGACCATGGGGAGTCCTTTTGGAGGATTATGGGGGCCGCAGGGTCAGAATCCTTAAATGTAAATTCACTCATTCTTTAGTCATCGCAACGTTTTAGATTTCATCCCAGGACAGGTATTAAAAATAAACTCCCTCATGTGAAACGTTTGTTTGATGGAGGTGAGGGCAAAGTATCGCCATGATTGGCACCACACGCACAAGCAGTGGATTTCTCTGTACTGCTGACTCAGCTGTAAATAGTTTATTGTGCCATAAACTGAACCTTATAGGATTGATGATGTCCACAAGGCTGAGGTTGGTGCGCGGTGTAGACGTGGTAGCTGTATCTGGTATCTGTTTTTTTGTTTGATGAGAACAGAATCCTCCTTCTCCTCATACTTCCTCCACAGTGGCCATGCATCTTCATCTTTATGACTCTGTCTCCACTGATTCCTCCCCTGAGGTCCAGTATTTCTGCACGCTTCTGAACATTGCGTTGTCGTGCACTTGATGTGGAAACACGCTGACACACGTGGTCATTAAACACTGTTTTCTTGTTAACTGTCAACTTAACAACACGTTTAATAATTAATCTTGGTAGAAACAGGTAGACGGCCGCCTGTGAAGGCACGGGTGTTTACAGTACCTGTGGGTGAGGGACAGAGACGGTAGTGTAATCTAGTTTGTCTCTCGATATAATGGCTTTTCTTTCTTCGCGCAGCTCTGGATCTCACCTTTAATTTCCTGGCGTTTCTGCTGTGAGTGATATCGTAGCAGTTCCGTCTCAGAGCGGCAGACGTAGTCCAATCCCGCCGTGATCTCATTTGCATTGCAAAAAAATTGTAACTTGTGAAAATAGGCCTCTACTTTGTGCTTTTACTAGGCATCATTTTTGACACCCAGACAAAATAACCAAATAACCTTTTGCAAATGTCGTTTTTGAGCAACTTTACTTGTAAACAAATGTCGTTTTTGAGCAACTTTACTTTTTGCTTCTTTTTTTTATATAAAAGAAAACTGAGGCATATACGCACCTTAGATTTCTCCAGAGTTCACCCTCACATTTCTATTTTGTTACTTTTGTTGTCCAACATACTTTGCAGCCGTAGAACCCAAAGGCAGGCTTTAGTTGTGGCTGCTTATCAAGGAGGATTTGGAAGAATTTTTTATTGGCTAGATAAAGGCACAGCCGAGTCTTTTTCTCCCAGCTACTCTAGATGGCTTGGAAGCCTCATGAAGCTTTATTGCGTCTAATCTTCCCCTTCGCCTTCATCCTGTTTTATCCCGCACCCCTTCCTTCTTCTTCCCGACAAACAACTTTTCTCTTTTAATTATG